ACAGGCAGAAAGCGAGAAACACTTTGCGTGAAAATCGCTAAGTGCCAGCGCTAATGATTTCTGAGCCAAAATCGGAGATTTTAGTATGGGGGTTTAACAGGGCAAGCTAGACGGCAGGGCGTAAAATTAGACTTGGTTTAAGTATGTTAAAAGAGAGCGAATAGCGTGAATTAGACTTGGTTTAACTATGTTAAAGAGAGCGGAATAGCATGAATTAGACTTGGTTTAACTATGTTAAAGAGAGCGGAATAGCATAAAATAGACTTGGTTTAAGTATGTTAAAAGAGAGCGAAATAGCGTAAATTAGACTTGGTTTAACTATGTTAAAGAGAGCGGAATAGCATGAAATAGACTTGGTTTAACTATGTTAAAGAGAGCGGAATAGCATGAAATAGACTTGGTTTAAGTATGTTAAAAGAGAGCGAAATAGCGTGAATTAGACTTGGTTTAAGTATGTTAAAGAGAGCGGAATAGCATGAAATAGACTTGGTTTAACTATGTTAAAAGATAGCGAAATAGCGTGAATTAGACTTGGTTTAAGTATGTTAAAGAGAGCGGAATAGCATGAAATAGACTTGGTTTAACTATGTTAAAAGAGAGCGAAATAGCATGAAATAGACTTGGTTTAAGTATGTTAAAAGAGAGCGAAATAGCGTGAATTTAGACTTGGTTTAAGTATGTTAAAGAGAGCAGAATAGCGCGAATTAGACTTGGTTTAAGTATGTTAGAGAGAGCAGAGTAGCGTGAATTAGACTTGGTTTAAGTATGTTAAAGAGAGCAGAATAGCGCGAATTAGACTTGGTTTAAGTATGTTAGAGAGAGCAGAGTAGCGTGAATTAGACTTAGTTTAAGTATGTTAAAGAGAGCGGAATAGCGTGAATTAGACTAGGATAAAGTATGCAAAATGAAGCTGAGGACTTTGTGAAAAAATGCGAAGTTGTTTGCTGTTCTAATTGTATGGGTTTGGAGATGTTTTTGGCTTGGATTAATAACAGGCAGGAAGCGCGAGGAAACGCAGCGAATATGGACGCGTACGCGGAAGGTGACGGCGGAGGAAGCGCGGATATGGAGGTGAAAATGGTGAAGGTGATGGCGCGAGGAAGGTGACGGCGCATGGGTGTGAATATGGAGGTGATGAAAGGTGACGGGAGGAAACGCATGATGTATATGACAAGTTGGTGTCGTACTTAAGCGGAGCGCGCGCTGTGCATGTATGAAGGTGTCGAAGGTGTTCATATTGCCTAAGACGCGTACGTGCACATGTCATGTCGCATAGGAAGCGTAGGTATGGTTGTGCAAGTCGTAAATGGCCACTTTGGTGGTTTAACATTGTTTCCAGGCCGCGTATGCGCAAATATGGGGTGCGGCGGCTATCTGCACTGCTGTGTATGAAGGTGTCGGTCTGTGTGGGGTTCCTATCGGAGAGAATACGTATGCTGCGTTGTAGGAGTGAGCTGCTGGCCACACGTTTGTATTGGAGTGCGCCACACCACCCCCCTTTTTGTTTTGTTACTATATAAAGTGTAGCCATCCACCCAGCCAATTCTGAGGGCCAGAAGGGGTATTGGGGGCCATCGTGTGCAGTCTATGGCCACGTATGTGGACATGTGAGTGTGTAAATGTGTTGTACCAATGTATACGAGTGATAAACACTAATAGGCGTGTCGATCAAAGTCAAATGTAGACGGCCATCTTAGGCTGAAAGCACCATATCCCGTCTGCTCTGTGAAGTTAAGCAGCCTCAAGCTCGGGTAGTACTCGGGTGGGTGACCACCGGGGAAGTCCGGGTGCTGTCTACTTTTTAGCCCGTTTTGAGCTGTTTACCGACTTTGCGTGTGTTTGCAAACGCAAGATATGATGTCTGGCATGTGCCCACACGACATCTTGGTTTTAGTATGCCTGGCGAGCCACTACACACGAGATCTTGTTTTTTGTATGGTGTTCTTTAATTTGATTATTATGAAGATGAAAGAGAACCGTTAGAACGGGTATGAAGGGTGTTCTAGGGGTGCTTTTCGGTGCTCTTTCACGTGGACATATCGCAGCATGCGACATGTCAGTGGAACACTGTCTAAATTAATAAATACTGTTTTGGCCGATTTCTAAAAGCGTCTATAAAAGGGCATAAGTGCAATGACTCGTCTTTGTAACCCTGCGGCCTAGGCGTAGTTTTTCACGGGGAATCCGAATATCAAAGGTAGATTTATGTACAACATGTACTTTTTTTGCAACATGTACTTTTTATCTACGGGACATATACATATGTAAAAACACACGGCGGAGCTGTTCCCGCAATCAGAATTTGTCTAACTCTTCTAGATCAAAAGTTATTCAGCGAAATGTGAGACTTTGTTTGGCATGCTCTTTTTTTAGGTGGTTTTTTCCGGTTTTATGTGCCGCCCGGCAGATCTGGCCTGCAGACTTTAGCAGAAAACTTGGCGCATGTGTTCGCACGACCGCTCCCAAAGTTTTACAAGCATATCTCCAGTAGTTGCTTCGC